TCCACTCTAACAGCCAGATTAATGAGACCTTCGAGTGTTTTCGGCAACTCCAGCGCGTAGATCTCGTCCTTGATGTGCTCCGCTAATCCATGAAAAAACATGTCCCACTGCGCCTCGCTGTTCCAGCCACACTCCGCTGCCAGCGTACGAAACTCAATTGAATAGTCCACAACGCTCTGATCTCCCTGATGGAGCTCTGCCAGCTTTCTGGACGCCTCTCTGCCCGAAGCCGCTTGATCAAACACCACTTTAAGTTCTTCTGAAAAGGCTTTGAAGGTGTTACAACAGGGATTCTTGTTCTCCCAAACCGTTGTTCCCCATAATGCCGCTTTACCTGTTAGCAGATTGATCAAAAAGGCTACTTTGCTCTGCTCGCTGGGAAAAGACGAGGGCTGGAGAGCGATGTATAGCGAACATTTTGCCAGGAAGGCTCGACATAAATGGGGTTCGCCCGCGTAACTCTGCGGCGGAGGTAGTCGTGGTTCGGTGGAGCGGGTTTCGATAACAGCTGGGCTGGCTGGTGGATTAACAGGAGGAGGTGGCTGAGCGGATCCGGCAGCGAGACCCGTGCTGAGACGCTGGACTTGAGTGGTGAGTTCGGAGACCTGGTTAACAAGCGCTTGAATGGCCTGACTGGTTACCTTCATCTGTTGGTCTTGATGGTCTAGGCGAGCGATGCTGCGAGACAGGATCTCCTGAACTTCCGATGTACTTGCTGGGTCCATAGTGGTCAGTTCGTTCTGTCACAACTCAAAGATGACGAAGGAACCCAAGTGCAAGTGACAGTTTTATTAACGCACACAAAGATAACACAGAGAGACTGGGTGGCTGGAAGTCGAAGGTCATAGAAGCAAATATTCACAGTAAACAGAGAATCAAGAGTTCATCAGGAAGAACCTCAATCTCCGTCAACAGAGCGTATCAAAAGTTCATCGGGGAGCACTCCAATCTCCGTCAACAGAGCGAATCAAAAGATCATCGGAGGAGAAACTTCAACCAGCACACTAACCAGCGAACTCAACGGGGAGAGCCTGACAAAGGACACAGAGACAAGTGAGGACAACGAACTGACAAGGTGAGACAGGAACGCTGAACATTTATAGCCACAGTAAATGCGCTACACCTGGAGCGCAATAATCAGCTGAGCGGTGCTAGGCGACCGATGACCATGATCATGTGACCGCCCAGCTGATAACATGAAAACAACAACAACACCGACAGCCACGCGACTCACACAAACACAGAGACAAACGCAGACACACACCGCAAACACAAATAAACAATTCGCACCACGCAGACACATCATAGAAGAGCAGATAGATCCACAACCGTGACAGTTCTTAGCTGACAGGAGTGGAACCCGGTGTGGTCTTCTGCTGCTGTAGCCCATCCGCCTCAAGGCTGGACGTGTTGTGCATTCAGAGATGCTCTTCTGCATACCTCGGTTGTAACGAGTGGCTATTTGATTTAGTGTCGCCTCTCTATCAGCTCGAACCAGTCTGGCCATTTTCCTCTGACCTCTGCCATCAACAAGGTATTTACTCCCACAGAACTGCCGCTCACTGGATACTTTTTCTTTTTCGAACCATTCTTTGTAAACACTAGAGATGGTTGTGCATGAAAATCCCACTAGATCAGCAGTTTCTGAAATACTCAGTCACTTAAATCACCTTTCTTCTCCATTCTGATGCTCTGTTTGAACTGCAGCAGATCGTCTTGACCATGTCTAGATGCCTAAATGCATTTAGTTGCTACCATGTGTTTGTCTGATTAGATATTCGCATTAACGAGCAGTGGGGCAGGTGTACCTAATAAAGTGCACACCAGTTACTGTACAAACATACTGACATAAGAAAAAAAGAATTGTGTGTAATAACAATGGAATGACACATGGAGAAAGACTCAAATGTAATTAATAATTAGCATAAGAGGTGTTTTTGCTGATGATAGCTTAAAGTTGTCTCTTGAGAATGAAGTCGCATTAATTGCTCAGGTGCTCAGGTTTCCCCCAGACTTCAACCGAGTCTTCAAATATTGATGGTTCTGTGTGTCTCATCAATGAATTCGGATATTAGTACTTATTTTCAATTGGATTCAGGTCAGGTGATTGGCTGGACCATTCGATCAGCTTTGTTTTCTTTCTCTGAAAGCATTTGAGAGTTTCTCGGCTGTGTTTGGGATTATTGTCTTGCTGAAATGTGCACCCTTGTCTCATTTTCATCATCTGGTAATGCAGGTGTTGAACTGAAGCAGCTAATATTAATTCACACTGACGAGAGGCTGCAGAATAACTACTGAGAAATTTCAGTTGCTGTCTGGGCTTTCCATGCCTTTGTACACCTCACTTTCTTCATGTATTTAAAACCTTCTCCCTGTGTCGTTTGATTTTATCCACTTAATTAGTTTTTTCAACTAAAAAGTTTTATTTGCTTTGACATTATTACTGACATCCAATGGCATTTTCAAGTCAGCAGCACCTTCAGAAATGATTTTTTCTGGTTTTCCTGAAAATTTATTTTTATTGGTTCTTATTTTACCCGCTGTATGTGTCAATAATACAGCTATAGGACAGTCTAAAATAAAGTCGCAAAAAATACCCCCTCCACAGGGTTAAAAAGCCATAATAGAACAGGTGGTGCTACTGACAGCATAGTTGTGTGTGTGCTTTAGGGTGTAAAATGAGCTTGTCTCTCTTTTATAGTGATGTAAGTGGCCATGGGGAATTCATATTGTTGTCTTCACAGCTCCTGTTTGTCAGATGATACAGACATTAATCTTCGATGTACGTCAGACTCAAACAGAGATGCTGCGACTGATTATACTTTGTCCTGTACTGATCATAATTGTGATGGTTGTGTGTCTAATCTTAATCTGAATATAAACATTTTGGCATTTTGACACCTTCTAATACTAGTATGACTCGTGTTTCATCAATCTCAATATGTTTATTATCGTCCCAAGATGTGTTTACACATTACTAGTAAAACGCTTGGAATTAAGAGACTCATGCTCTTGGGGAAAAAAGTATAAACCGTTTACATGCTTACCAAAACTGCAGTTGTTTGATCAGGAGTACAGCAGACTATTATGAAATATACAGTATTGTTGGTAAGGTAGCACTTTAAATTGGTTCATTAGTTAATGTATTTACTAACATGAACTAAGAACAAACTTGTAAAGCATTTATTATAGTTCATCGTTTACTAATGCACTATTTTAAATCCAAAGTTGTGTTTGTTTACATTAGTTAATGCCCTGTTAATAACACAACAAATTGAGCAACTTTAATTCATTATTATTTTTATTCTTCAACTAACGTTACCAAAAACGTAATAAATACTGCAATCAATGTTTTATTCATTGTTTGTTCTTGTTAGTAAATACAACATTAGTAAATCTAACATAACATACCTTTATTTTAGTGTTATCTAATACTGTTTATAATACTGTAATATTTACCAACGTTGTCAGACATTTAAAATTTATTAATTCAATCATTTTCTTGTCGGCTTAGTCCCTTTATTAATCCTGGATCGCCACAGCGGAATGAACCGCCAACTTACATTTAAAATTTATATTTTATTAATGTGATGGCAAAGCTGAAGTTTGAGCAACAACAAAAATAGAAAAATAAAAATAATCTGATCTGCTAGCGATGTTAGTTATTGCCCAAGAAGAAATACTCATAATGCTGCTCAGTAAACGCAGTATTGAGGCTCTGAGAATGGCATGCTGTTCTCCATTGCTCCGGGTGCTGTTTCTGTAGTTAGTGGGCTATTAGGTGCTGAATAAAAAGTGTCTGTCAAATTGCTCGTAACTCTTCAGACAAACCTGTTCTTTGTCTTTCTTGACTGAAAGCATCATGAGGATTTAAAGCTCTTAAGTTAACTCTAAAGTTACCAGTTATTTATATGCTCCTGATATTTTCAGAAAGAACTCCATAAAACTCTTAAATACACTAAAAACAATGACATTAAATGTGTGATCAAACTTATCCAAAATGAGCTGAAAAAACACAATTCTTGAGACAATTCTGTTAGTCAGCTCTTGTGTTCCGGCTGTCAATTCTTGTGTTTTTTGAGGACAGCTTAATTGTTTTATTGTTCAATTAAATTTGTAAAAAATTATTTAGTTAACTTTATTCCTTCATGTTGTCCCAACACAAATCAATTGTGTGGAACCTATAGCATTTTTACAGTGCATGAAATTATGTCACAGAGAGGAATCCTAGACTCTTTTTACTTTGTGTTGGTTAAATGCCAGCTAACTAAGTCTTGCTAACTTCAAAAAGCTATATTTGATAAAACCAATAATAATAATAATAATAATAATAATAATAGTAATAATAATAATAATAATAATAATAATAATAATAACAATAATAACAACAACAATAATAATAATAATAATAATTATTATTATTATAAAATAGAGTTTTACTTTGTAAAATATACAATAATAAAATATAATAATAATTATGTGCTCATATAGCCTATAAAAAGCTAAAAACTTATATTCTAACAACTTTGTAAATGTGTAAATGTAGACATCCTTTATTTAAATCAGATACTGAATCCAGATTATAGATTTTTTTTTGTCACATGACACAAGCTGTGCGAGATAATAGCCTAGTTGGCTAATTATTTAATACATCAACCATCTGCTTTATGTTACTTGCATGCAAACAGTGACGAAACCGACCCCTTATCCAACCTGTAGTTTGAAGATTTTAATTAGTGGACTTGTTTTTTCCCCAGTGTAATAAGCATAAACATCATCTGCAAATGTGGATTGATGAGTGAGAGTGAATGTGCTCTGCACACCCACTGCATGAGTCTCACCTCAGCTGGTCATGGCGCATGCAGAAATATGTGTCAGTAGTGCTACCATGGAAACATCGCAGTATCACATCCAGCAGCACATGGGATATCAGATCATTCATATGATGGAATCTGTATGTTTTAAACATGAAACGCATTTGAACTCATCCTTATTGCATTATACTGTAACGCTTGACGCATTCCAAACGCACAGATTATCACATATATCAGTTTTAGAGCTCAGCAGCAATATATGTCATGTTTATTTCTGCGGAGCCATATTTCTGTCAGCTTACTACCGGTATGCACGGTAAAAAGGGCAAACTTGGGGGGCTGTCTTTGCGCGCGGTGCGCCGCCCAACCGGAGATGCGCGAGCGAGCGGGCACTGGCTCATTCGCTCTCGTGCGGACACCGGAGTCAGCGAGGCATGTGTCTGGACACCGGCGTTTCTGTTACATAAAAAAGACACTCACAGAAACGATACACCTGAGCGTTTTCTATACCCACCGGCTGTCATTTGCCAACGCGCCGTCAGTTGTTTGAATTTCCACCTCACGCAGGATTGCAGCGACCTGCTTCTCGTAAACATTCGTGAATGGAAAGCGACTGCAGAAAAGACATACATCTTTCCAAACGCTTATCGAAGCCTCTGCAGTTTTGTGATTGATTAGCTGGATCCCCTTGCGTCCTTTGAAGGAAGATGGAGACCTTCTTCGCAGAGGTGGGATCATTTTCTAAATCAAGGGAACGTGTCATTTCTTGTGTGTTGCTTCATGTGCCGTACAGAAACAACAGATTGTGTGCAATATTTGTGAAATAACCCCTCAATAATCATGTGAGATAAAAACCGGTGGATAATTCTCATTGGCTGCATGCATGTGCACCAGGATGTTGTGAGTAATCATCGTAGCCTAACCGTGTCATTCCTTTTAAACACGGACATTTTACGGGTTGACATTTGTAAGTGCTTTAATATAAATGACCAGTGCGTTATTTCTCACTCTGACATTAGTTTATGGTGATGTAGCCTGCATAGGTGTCTCGTGTTCGCCAGGGCTGTGGCGCGCTCGAGGGGGGAAGGGGCTCGCGCATTGATGCTGAGGCAGGGTCTCTATCGGCTATGATGGTGTTTCTGCAAGGCTGATATCTAGCTTTTCTAAACCTCTCACGCCCTTATCACGCATCAGTGTTTGTTATGAAGCAGAAAAAATGTCTTGATTCCAAACCCAGCGCGTGAGTGTGCTGTGAAGGCTGTCTGGACATATTTGAGATTATTCCCATCATGCCAAATTCCACATTCAGAGCATTCACCTCACTTTCAGCCTGATATGAATTGCTGGGAAACCTATATGCAAGGTTCTTATAACCAACCTGTCAGCCTGAATGCATGTTGTTTACCTGATCTGTATTCTGAAGATCAGGCCTCACAACAGCATTTTCAATGCACTGTTGTATTTTTCTCCTCAAATCTATGTACATATTATCTAATATCTTAATAAGTATGTTTACTGTTTGATATCGTACACAATTGGATGATTTTGTTATCGCTCCTACCCTCAGTTTGTTAGATGCCCACACAAACACCTGCATTTGATCTAATACTGAATTACAGAATCCCCATTAAGCCATTTATCCCCTTGAACACATGCTATGTGTCTCAAATGGTTTTAAGCAGTCAGCATTTAATCTCTGTCAGAGTGGTCAGCACATCAACACAAGGCTTAGTGAGTAAATGACATTAATTGACGATGCACACACTCTGAATATTATATATTTATCAGAGAGATGTGTTTATGCTATAGGAAACTACAAAAGTGGTCTCTGTTAAGTCTCCTAAGGACAAAGCAGAAGAACTTAATCTTCAGATCCTTCACAGACTGCTATGTGAAAGCCATTTATTTAATTTATAGAGCATTTGCTGTGAAATCTGTCTCTCTGTCGTTTGTAATTTCAGAAAGCTAAAATGCTTTTGATACATTAGCTAGAATGAGTGAAACATCCTTGAGAGCTTTTCACACTTATAATAGTTAACCCTGGGTCATGCAAAAACCCAGGATAAATACAATCCTGGGTTATCTGTAATCACATTTCACACTGCTCATACTATACCTGGGGTTCACAAATACCTTAATCCTCCTGGGTATTATTCAGTAACAGGCGTTTCACAACATAAACCTTGGGTGAACGTTCTTATTTGTTGTGTCACTGTTGCTGATTGGACGAACAACATCCAACTTTTTTACACTGCATATCCGCATTATGTCACATGTAAAAAATGTAGACGTATAGGTTTAGCTGTTTTAAGCAACACAGGTTCATTGTGAAAACGTACCCCAGTATACATTTCTGGAGAGTGCGAATTATGTAGCCAGAGCTGAACAGCGGATTGCTGCGTACGTTGAGACTTGAGACGCAGAGAGGAGTTGACGGGGTTCGAGTCTGGTGAAGAACAGTTCCAGAAAGCAGGTTAAACAAAAACAATATGAAAAAAAATGAAATAAACAAAATTAATGAATGAAAAAAAAAAGAATGGATGAGTGAATAACAGGGTGAGAACATGATAAGATCTGAAAATGTGATACAAATCAGGCGAGGGCTTTTCTTATCTGGATTTCTGTTGAAAACACTATCGGTTGGGTCTAGGGAAAGGAATGGGTGCTGGTCAATCAGTGCTTTTGAAAACACTATCGATTGGGTTTAGGGAATGAGCTGGGTGAGGGATATCGGTTGGTCAGTCAGTCGGCGGAGACCTCTGGTGGATGGCACTCGCAAGAGAAATTTGAGATCTTAAAAAAGCATACAGAGTGGCCTCTTTCAGATTTATGAAAACGGCAAAAAACATAGCTCCTGGGACGTATTTTGCACTCTCCAGAAATGTATACAGGGGTATGTATCTATAATGATCCTGGGTTGGTTTTAATCTTTGTGAGATGCACAAAGACAAGAAAACAAATACGTCTGACAAGAGACTTAAAACAAGCAGCAAAGAATATGAATATTTCTTTACAGACACCTATCACCGGCTGCTGTTTACACCACACACGTTTCGTGATGCGATGTAAACCTTGATGCACAATTTCTGACTGGCTGTCTCTGTTGGCAAGTATCTAGCAGCAACAAGTAAACAATGCTCCATTTCACTCTGAACAAATTTAAAATTGCAGTACAGGGTGAAAACCACAAACGCAGAGGTGTGAAATGTCTTTACCCATGGTTAATTACAAATGTCAGCGAAGATGGGAGTTGGTTGTAGGTGTATTTTATGTGGCTTCTATTATCTTTGTAGGTGTTTTGACATGGCTGTTGTTGTTGTGTAGTTGGTCTGGGTGTTTGTGAGGGCACTAAAGGGTGGTTGTTTGTTGGACCAAGCCAACAGCAACATCTCAATTGGGTTTTGATCTTCTGGTCCCTTGAGCCCTTCCTTGCTTGTTTCCATCTGGGATTAATTAGTTTTTTTTTCCAATAATGGTCAATAGACATGAATTGTTGAATCTGATATTAAAACTAGTTCAAATGTGTCTTATTCGACCTCTTGTGTTTGGTTTTTAATGTAGACCGTTATAAAACCCTTATTCTCTCATTAAGACCCTTATTTCATCATACTCAACGTTGTTCTCATGTAAATAAATATTAAGAAAATTAAGAAATGAAACTAGGAAAATCTGTAAAAAAAAAAAAAACTAATTAAGAACAATAAAGGCCATTCAAGTCTATTAAATGGTTTTATTAACAATGTGCATTAAGAAAACCTAAATGAGGAATATTTTTTCATTCGTTTTCCTTCGGCTTAGTCCCTTTATTCATCAGAGGGTCACCACAGTGGAATGAACCGCCAACTTATCCAGCATACGTATTTACCGCAGATGTCCTTCCAGCTGCAACCCAGTATTGGGAAACATCCATACAATCTTACATGCTCACACATACACTATGGCCAATTTAGTTTGTGTCATTCACCTGTATCGCATGTCTTTGGACAGTGGGGAAAATCGGAACACTCGGAGGAAACACAGAACACACAGGGAGTACATGCAAACTTCACACAGAAATGACAACTGACCCAGCCAGGACTTGAACCAGCAACCTTCTTGTCGTGAGGTGACAGTGCTAACTACTGGCACCGTGTCACCCCTAAACTTGTAATATCTTTTGTAATTAATATTAATTTCTAATTTTAGACATTGTGGTTGATCACGACTAAAATGCTACACCTTTTTGGAAATAGTGATAACAAACAGTCAAATTAATGCTTGCCTTAGCCAGTGTTAGTGTAGAGGTCAGAGGTTAAGCTTTTCCCCCAAGGGGACTGACACTTTTAAATGGGGTAGGGTGCATTGAAGCACATAAGCCCACCAAAATACTGATCTGACCCACTCACTAATATTGTTTCCTCTGCCCAACATCCCAATGTGTCATCACTGAAAAGCATGTCAGAAGCCCAGGGGTGTTTCTTGAGATCCAGAAAGCTCAGTGACCCTGTAAAGCACAACACACAAGCGGAAACTGCTCTCTTTTCATTTGTATTCTCCCTCTTTCTTTCTGTCTCTCTTTTGTCACCCCTTTTTTCTGCTGTCTTCTCTGTGGTGACAGTTCAGGTTATCATTTTGGTGACTCAACAGTCCACACCTCCAGTGCCCACAGCAACACTGGCAGGCAGGCCGGCATGTTTATTGTGTCACTACATGGTCCTAGTGCCTGTTTTTTTTCAACCTCTAAACTGAAGCATGCATTGGAATTAACTAGATTTCAAATTCCAAGAGCGGATTGAAGTTCTATCTTTTATTAGAAAGTCTTCATGAACTATAAGTGATTTAGAAATGCGATTAGCCGTTTTCTTAAACAATATATGGCCTGTTGAGGACCTGCTAACTATTTAAAGGAATTAAAGCCATAGATTATATACAAGTCTCGGTATCAGCCATGTAAAATCTCAGTTCAGATGAGAACTGAATAAGCCTACATCTTTCTAGAAGGTTCTATTTTTATCCCCTTATTTTTAAAACCTCGTTATATATATATATATATATATATATATATATATACATATATATATACATACACACACACACACACACACACACACACACACACACACACACACACACACACACACACACACCACTTTATTAGGTAAACCTATCCAACTAAACAGTAACGCACATTTCTAATCAGCCAATCATATGGCAGCAACTCAGTGCATTTAGACATGTAGACATGGTCAAGACGATCTGCTGAAGTTCAAACCGAGCATCAGAATGGGGAAGAAAGGGGATTTAAGTGATTTTGAAGGTGGCATGGTTGTTGGTGCCAGACGGGCTGGTCTGAGTATTTTAGAAAATGCTGATCTACTGGGATTTTCACACACAACCATCTTTAGGGTTTACAGAGAATGGTCCAAAACAGAGAAAATATCCAGTGAGCGGTAGTTCTGTGGGCGCAGATGCCCTGTTGATGTCAGAGAAGAATGGCTAGACTGGTTCCAGCTGATAGAAAGGCAACAGTAACTCAAATAAGGGATGTGCAACCGACAAATCTGCAGCAACTGTGATGTTATCATGTCAATATGAACCAAAATCTCTGAGGAGTATTTCCAGTACCTTGTTACATCTATGCCACAAAAAGATTAAAGCAGTTCTGAAGGCAAAAGGGGGTTCAACCTGGTACTAATAAGGTGTACCTAATAAAGTGGCCGGTCGGCTATCTACTAAAATAAATATATAT